AGTAAGATAAAGAAAGAAAGATGGCAAAGACAGAGAGAGAGAGAGAGAGAGAAAGAAAAAAAAACGTAATATGAGGAAGGGATAAGGAGAGAGAAGAAAGAAATATATAGAAAGAGATAGAGAAAATGGGATAAAAGCTCTGAGAGAAAGAGAGAGAGAGAAGCATAGAGAATTCTATTAAAAGAAAGAAAGAAAGAAAGAAAGAAAGAAAGAAAGAAAGAAAGAAAGAAAGAAAGAAAGAAAGAGGGACTAGAAAGATGAAAAGAAGAGAGGGAGAAAAGAAAGAATAGAGAGAAAAAAGGGTGGCTAGAAATATAAAAAGAAAGAAAGAGAGGGTAATAGAAATAAATAAATAAATAAATAAATAAAGAAAGAAAGAAAGAAAGAAAGAAAGAAAGAAAGAAAAGGGTGGAAGAAAAAATGACACAAAAGGGAGAAAGACAAAAGCAGTGAGAGAGCGGCACCAACGCTCAGTAAATGCACAGAGGACGTAAGAGAGATAGAAAAAAGGAACAGTGATAGAGGGGGGGGGTAAATATTCGGTGATAAGGAGAAAAAGATGAGAATAGTTAAGGAAGGAGAGAGAGAGAGGAAGAGAAAGAAATATAAACTGAGAAGGAAAAAGAAAAATAGAGAGAGGAGGAAGATTGAGAGAAAGAAAGATAGGGAAAATAAAGAGACAGAAGGGGAAATATAAGCGAGAATGGAAGAGAGACAAAAAAAGATAAAGAAAGGACGAGTGGAAGAAGAGAAAGAAAAGACGGAGAGAAAATCAAAATGTAAGAAAGAAAGAAAGAAAGAAAGAAAGAAAGAAAGAAAGAAAGAGAGAAAGAAGAAAACGTAGGGAAATTAAATTATAATGAGTGAATTCTCAGCAAGAAAGAAAAAAAAGAAAGAAAATCGAAATATAAAGTGAAAAAAAAGAAGGAGAAATATGAGCGGGAATCGAAAAGAGAAATAAGATAAAGAACGAACGAAGGAAGAAAGAGAAGGAGAGAAAAGAAAGAAAATCAAAATGTGAGAAAGAAAGAAAGAAAGAAAGAAAGAAAGAGAATTTTATAGAAAGATATAGAGAGAGGGACATTAGAGAAGAAATATTCTGAGAAGAAAGAAAGAAAGAAAGAAAGAAAGAAAGAAAGAAAGAAAGAAAGAAAGAAAGAAAGAAAGAAAGAAAGAAAGAGAATTTTATAGAAAGATATAGAGAGAGGGACATTAGAGAAGAAATATTCTGAAAAGAAAAGAAAGAAAGAAAGAAAGAAAGAAAGAAAGAAAGAAAGAAAGAAAGAAAGAAAGAAAGAAAGAAAGAAAATTTTATAGAAAGATATAGAGAGAGGGACATTAGAGAAGAAATATTCTGAGAAGAAAGAAAGAAAGAAAGAAAGAAAGAATGAAAGAAAGAAAGTAAGAAAGAAGAAAAGGTAAGGAAATTAAATAATAATGAGTGAATTCTCTGCAAGAAAACAAAAAATAGAAAGAAAATCGAAATAAAGTGAAAAAAAGAAAAGGAAAAATGAGCGAGAATGGAAGAGAGAAATAAGATAAAGAACGAACAAAGGAAAAGAAAGAAAGAAAGAAAGAAAGAAAGAAAGAAAGAAAGAAAGAAAGAAAGAAAGAAAGAGGAAAGTTAGAGAAGATAGCGAGGGAGCGTAGAGCGAGACAGAGGATGAGAACAGGAAAAAAAAACAGAGAAAAACAAAATCTTACAGAAAGATATAGAAAGGGACATTAAAGATGAAATATTCCGAGAAAAAAGAAAGAAAGAAAGAAACAATGAATGAATCAAAGAAAGAATGAAAGAGAAAACGTGAGCAATAATTGAACCATGAGAGAGAAAGACAAAAGAGAGAGAGAGAGAGAGAGAGAATGGGGGGGGACAACCGTGAGAGGGAGAGTCAGCATTATTCGGTGACCGAAAGAGAGAAACATATATAAAGAAAAGGCGATAAACATAGAGACAGAGAATAAAAAGACAACAACAACAAAAAGAAAAAAAGACAAAAAAAATCAGTGAAAATGAAAAAGAGGGAAATTCAGAGGGGAAGGCAGAGAGAAAGACAATTTATAAGAGAGAGAGAGAGAGAGACAAAGAAAAAGAGAAGTTCAATGGTTCAACCAGACAAATGGATGAATGAATGAGTGAATGAAAATGAATAACAGAAAGAGTGAGGAAGAAGTTCGTACCTGGGGGGAGGGGTTTGGTCGAATCAAGAATTTGAACAATAATCGCGAGTGGACACAGCTATTTTCAGCGTGGGGACAAGCCATAGCCCCTGCCACCTTCTTTAAGTCAGGCATGCCGCAAGAAAGAATTTGCAGACGAAAATTAGTTAACCCCACAGACTCCTTCTTTAAGTTATGGGTGGCACAAATGAGAATGTGCACGCTAAAATTATTTCCCGTCGTTTTCACAGTTCAGTGAGGTGGGCGAGGAAATAATATGCTTCACTTGTAATTGTAAAATATTACCCCGGTCCTTTTTTTTTTAAAAAAAAGGGCATGAGAATTAGTAATTGACATGTTGTACAGTACCTATGTAGATACAAATAGTAGACTAATACAGCAAATTAGAAATAAAAGTACAAAACTATTTCTAAAGACTGAATGAAAACGACACCTGATTAATTATTATTTTTAAAGTACCAAACTGTTTCTAAATACTGAATAAAAAAAATAAAAAACACCTGAGTCAGGCCAAAGAATATATCAGCCAATTTGTCTACAGGATAATACAGCAACTTTTTTTTAATTACAAAGCTATTTCTAAAGACTAAATTTAAAAAAAAAGACGCCCAAGGAAGCCCAAAGAATTTATCAACCATTCTATCACCAGAATAATACAGTATTTTCTAAGTCAGTCAGTCAGTTATGTGCCATGCGTGATACACGCTTAGGCGATCATGCATCTTTCGATACATGATTGACGAGGCAGATTTTTTTCCCGCAGTAGGTTGCCATTTTTTTCTGCGCTAGACTAGTTGTCATCCAAGGCTATAGAACCAGATCCGTCCTGTTATTTACCCATAGCTGGGTGGGGGAGAGAAAAAGAGGATTCATATCTTTCCCAAGGGTATTAGCACGTAAGTGAATGTAATGGATTCGACTGGAATTAGAACTCGGCTCTCCGATTCCTTAATCTAAGCCGCTATCCATTAATCCACCGTAAAAAGACAACTGAGGAAGGCCAAACAATATATCAACCGACCCCTCTCTTCTACAGGACCTTTAATATATAATCTATATAACTCCCGTTATCTTTCCGTTCCAGACTTCAGATAATTCAGCTCTGATCTTTATAGTCGCACTAGTTAACGTACCCGTCTGCACTGATTAAGAGGAGAAAGCATGGAGCGCTGTTGGTAATACGGGAAGGAAAATGCTTCCCTTGTAGTAAATGCTGCTTCCATCAGATGCAAATCATGCGAACAGATAACTTCATACAGATTAAACTTGTAATATTCACTTATACTCAAATACCATTAGGAAAGGTAAAAATCTATTCTCCCCAATTATGGGTTAAACAGTTGGACTTGTATCTGGAAAAAATATCCTCAAGGACACATGGCACAAGGGATAAAGGCGTTAGTTAGATCCAGTGACAGGACCCAAAAAATGTGAATTCAATACCTGGTTAAGGCGGTGGAGAACTTAGAGAGGGGAATTAACAGGAGATAACTGATAACTGACATCCATTAGACATGGCACGTGGAACTAGAACTCTCTACCCCAGCGAGCGAAATAAAGGGTTCAGTTCGACATTCCAACCACTTGAAGAAGGCCGGATCGTACAACGGCCGAAACGTTGTGATAAATATGGCAACAAAGATGAGGACGATAGTCCGAACAATGTAATTAGTGTACATAATACCTCATCTCAGAAATATAGACAGATACTGTAAAAATATCATTGTTATTATCAAAAAGATTTTAATGCAATATTCACTCACAAAAAATTATTCTTACAATCAAATGTTTTGCGGTTTTAAGCAATCCACAGAGGTTTGATAAAACGTAAAAATAAAAAATTAAAAAAAAAACTATATCGGCAAGCAAGGTTTTGGACATTTGTAGCGAACAGACAAACAAACGCTCCCTAACTTTATATATACGAACTATAATCCCCGTCTTACAAACATTTCTCTTAATAATAATTTCAAACACAATTCAATAGACGATGTTATTTTATTTATGGTAACTGGATTTTTGGCGATTGCCTTATTCAGTTTCAAAAAAAAAAAAAAAAAGCAACGAGCACTTTGATAAAACCCAAAGAAGAATCAGCAATATTATTGGTGCTGGTCTGTCATCTCAGCTTTAGTTATGTTCACATCGCCGTAAGGTTGGCTCCCTGTGGTACTATTGTACGTAGACTTTTTCAGTTTAAGCGCAGTACTAGACTTTTCGTCAAGATCTCATCAATTTACAGTTGAGTTGCCGAAATGTGACCATAAGTTCTATGCTAACAGTTTCTTTTCTCGCACTTCTCGCCTGTGGAACTCTCTTTCGGTTACTTGCTTTCCCGCCAACTTTGACCTTCCAAAATTTAAATGCAATGTCAATCGCTATTTACTGTCTTCTTGATTACTCTTCTTTTGTTTTCGCTCTTTAGTAATGTCTCAGTTTTCTACCCCGGTGGACGAAATACAGGGTTCATTTCGAAATTCCAATCACCTGAAGACCACCGGAGCGCACAACGGTCGAAACGTTGTAAATATAGCAATAAAAATGAGGACAAGAGTTCGAACAATGTAATCTCATCTCAGAAATATGGACAAATCAAAATTTATTTCAAAGTATTTGTTTTTTTTTTTACAGTTTATCAACCATTTGCAAAAGCCAGAATATATTTTTAGATTGTAAGAATTTTTGGAGATAGTAATGATTTACTGTTACAAGTCCTACTATTTAACCCATAGCAGGGGGAGGGGTTTGTGCGTACGTGAATAAAACGAACCGTACTGTTCGATTTCCAGTCCCGAGTTGTTATCCATTACACCAGTTGAACAGCACCTGATATTCCAAGCAGTCGCCCATCTAAGTACTGATCAGGATCGACGTTGCTTACCTTCGGTGATCGTACGAGAACCGATGTTTCAACGTGATACGGCCGTAAAGCGCATAAAACATTTAATATATTATGAAAAAAATAAAAAATAAACGAAAACGAACCCTTCAGACTTCATAAAGTTTCCCACTAAAAATAATGCAAAAAATTGTATCGGAAATTGAATAAAAATTATCTTGAATTAAAAACCAACATTTCTAATATCAGATTCGAAAAAAAAAAAAAAAAGAAAACTTTTACCAACTAACCTCTAACCTCTACCGAAAACTATCACTGATCAAGATATAACACCAAGCCAAACCCAAAACCGCGATTCAAAATGTTTCAATTAAGTGACATACGTGTTTAAAACGCTTGGGAGATCATGTCTCTTTCAATTCATGACTGACAAGACTGAAGATTTTCCCGCAGTCGGCTGCCGTTACTTTCTGTGGTAGTCTGGCTGCCAACCAAGGCTATAGGACCCAGTCTATCCTGTTATTCAACCCATAGCTGTAGGGAAAAGAGATAGTCAGTCAAGAGCCATACGTGATACAACCTCATGCGATCATGTCTCTTTCGATTCATGACTGACAAGACTGAAGATTTTCCCGCAGTAGGCTGCCGTTACTTTCTGTGGTAGTCTGGCTGCCAACCAAGGCTATAGGACCCAGTCTATCATGTTATTCAACCCATAGCTGTATGGAAAAGAGATAAAGTCAGTCAAGTGCCATACGTGAAAGACGCTCGGATGATCATGTCTCTTTCGATTCATGACTGACAAGACTGAAGATTTTCCCGCAGTAGGCAGCTGTTATTTCTGTGGGAGGCTGGCTGCCAACCAAGGCTATAGGACCCAGTCTATCCTGTTATTCAACCCATAGCTGTAGGGAAAAGTGATAAAGTCAGTCAAGTGCCATACGTGAAAGACGCTCGGATGATCATGTCTCTTTCGATTCATGACTGACAAGGCTGAAGATTTTCCCGCAGTAGGCAGCTGTTATTTCTGTGGTAGTCTGGCTGCCAACCAAGGCTATAGGACCCAGTCTGTCCTGTTATTCAACCCATAGCTGTAGGGAAAAGAGATAAAGTCAGTCAAGTGCCATACGTGAAAGTTGCTCAGATGATCATGTCTCTTTCGATTCATGACTGACAAGGCTGAAGATTTTCCCGCAGTAGGCTGCTGTTATTTCTGTGGAAGCCTGGCTGCCAACCAAGGCTATAGGACCCAGTCTATCCTGTTATTCAACCCATAGCTGTAGGGAAAAGACATAAAGTCAGTCAAGTGCTATACGTGATACAACCTCATGCGATCATGTCGCTTTCGATTCATGACTGACAAGACATAAGATTTTCTCGTAGTGGGTTTTCCGTTTCTTTCTGCGATAGACTGGTTGAAAACCCAGGCTATTCAACCCATATCTGGGGGAGTAGAAATGGATTCATACCATTCCCAGTGGTATTAGCGCGTAAGTGATTGCAATGAACCCTGCTGGAATTCGAACTCGGCTCTTCGTTTTCTCATTGCGTGCCGTTATCCATTACACTACACTGCACATAGTGTATAGTGGTTGATATATATATATCTTATTCCAGGATCATTTTCCAACTTATTCAAGATGATCTTCGCCCTCTCTAACCTTCTAACTTTCTGCCTTGGATAAAAAGGTGCCTCACCCGTTTCTCGTACTTCATTTTCAAGTCTTTTTTCACTGCTGAAACTTTTTTCCCACGAGCTAAACGTTTTATGAATTGAGTTGGATCTTTTCTAATTGATCTCTTTAACTCTAAGATGCAATGATGATCCCTCTTCCTGTTGTGACTTCCTGACCCAGTTTTTCTCTCTACTGTTCCGTCTTTTTTAAAACTTATTGACCGTTCTCTCGATGGTTTTTGAATGGACTTTGAAGATGGGAGCCAGAGTATGAATATTGGTGTCATTAGTGAAGGCCTGGATGATCTTTTTCCTCTCACCATTGCTCAGTTGAGAAGACAATAGGTATGATACGAAACAATTTTAATCTGCTCTCTTTTTAACTGAATAACACAGTTTTTTCAATGGTGTCAAGATGGCTAAACGTCTTATCTGAAAACCTGGAAAAAAGAAACCCAATTAGTTTAGTGGATTTTTAGATATTAAACAATTTTTGGGATGGATAATTGCCGTTACACGATTTGGACAATATTCCAGTTACATCCGGTATGTGGAATGAGCTGGCAAGATTATATTTTTAGTCGTGATTTTTGTCATCCGGCATTGTCTGTGGTGCGTCATTGGCCTTGACCCAATTGTGCTGGATTCAAGAAGTTGGGCTGTACTCAGTATAATATAGAGACTATTGAAAACACTTTATTTCAGAAACATTGCCCAAACACCTTCAGCGAAAATACTGCTACTATTTTACATTTATTTATTTGGTTTGGTTAGTTTTACGGCATATCAACCTCAATGGGTTATTTAATGCCGACAACATTTTTAGGATAGATTCGTATGAATAGAATATGTATTCTTTGGTTTAGATTGGTTTGGTTTATTTTGTTTTACGTCATATCAACCTCAATGGGTTATTTAATGCCGACAATATTTTTAGGATAGATTCGTATGAATAGAATATGTATTCTTTGGTTTAGATTGGTTTGGTTTATTTTGTTTTACGGCATATCAACCTCAATGGGTTATTTAATGCCGACAATATTTTTAGGATAGATTCGTATGAATAGAATATGTATTTTTTGGTTTAGATTCGTTTGGTTTATTTTGTTTTACGACATATCAACCTCAATGAGTTATTTAATGCCGACAAGATTTTTAGGATAGATTCGTATGAATAGAATATGTATTCTTTGATTAGATTTGTTTGGTTTATTTTGTTTTACGACATATCAACCTCAATGAGTTATTTAATGCCGACAAGATTTTTAGGATAGATTCGTATGAATAGAATATGTATTCTTTGATTAGATTTGTTTGGTTTATTTTGTTTTACGACATATCAACATCAATGAGTTATTTAATGCCGACAAGATTTTTATTGCTGGTAATATTTTTTTCAAAAAGATATTGCTGGTAACATTTTTTTCCAAAAAGGTATTGCTGGTAACATTTTTGGAAAAAATGTATTGCTGGTAATTTTTTCCCCCAAAATGTATTGCTGGTAATATTTATTTTCTTCAAAAATGTATTGCTGGTAATAAAAATTTATTACTGTTATTAAAACCTATTTTTACACTTTCATAGTGTTTTGACCCCAGTTTTGGAGGTTAACTATTTTCCCATAGTTGGGAACCGAACAAGTGCTACCACCCTGGATCAGGGTGGCAATGGGAACACAAACAATTAAAAGGTTGTTCCGCGCTCCTCAAAACCTTCTGATCAGATGCCTTGCTGTTGGATGTAGTTTATCGTCATACCCAGGGCGCGGATGTATTTTATTGTCATACCCAGGACACGGATGTAGTTTATCGTCTTACCTAGGACGCGGATGTAGTTTATCCTCATACCCAGGACACGGATGTAGTTTATCATCTTACCCAGGACACGGATGTAGTTTATCATCTTACCCAGGACGCGGATGTAGTTTATCGCCATTTATTCTTTCTTAGTGCCTTCAGGTTTGGTTTTGTTCTTCGTTTATATATATATATATATATATACATACATATATATATATATATATATATATATATATATATATATATATATATATTTTTGCGCGCGCAGAGGAGGTGGGGGCATTTATTTTATTTTTATTTTATGACTGATAAAAAACAACAATGATGATAATTTTTTTTTCAAACTTTGGAACAATACAATCAGATTCAATCAGGATTTAAGAAAAGAGCCTCATCAAAATATATCTTGTTTCATTATGGAAGCACGTTTAAGAAGAAAAAAAATGGATGCACAAAAAATCGTGAATCCTCGACTTCATGCTTTACTGTGACACCGACGCATGCAAGCTCGCACGAGGACGAGCCACTTACGTTCACGTCGACAGCCGAGACAATGATGGACGCCATTGAACAAGATATTTGGCGTCACAGCTATCTTCTACGAATCTTGCACGCCCCAGTCTTGTATTGCACAACCTAGAAGAAGCGTAACAACAACAACAACAAAATTATCTGTGTATTTTAAATTAAAAATAAAAATTAAAGAAAGCTGATAAAAGTTTCTTCTTTTTAAAAAAAATATATATATATATATATATATTCTCAAAACTAAAACACCAGACACAAAGCAGTTCGGTAGCATTTCAATATATTCTATAGTTTAATTTCTGAATATCTTTTTTCATCTTTCAAAGAACAAAAACGTAATCCAATGGATTAATTGTATTGATACTGTTTTTATTTTCATTGTGATTATTACAAAAAGAAGAAAAAAAAGAAGAAGAAGAAGAAAAAGAAGAAAAAAGAGCTGAAGAAGAAAAGGGAGAAAAAGAGCAGAAGAAGAAGAAAAAAGAGAAGAAGAAGAACAAGAAGAAAAAGAAGAAAAAAGAGCAGAAGGAGAAAAAGAAGAAAAAAGAGAAGAAGAAGAAAAAAGGAGAAAGAAGAGCAGAAGAAGAAAAAGAAGAAAAAAGAGAAGAATAAGAAAAAGAAGGAAAAGAGCTAAAGAAGAAAAAAGAGAAGAAGAAGAAAAAAGAGAAGAAGAAGAAAAAGAAGAAAAAAGAGAAGAATAAGAAAAAGAAGAAAAAAGATGAAAAAGAGCAGAAGAAGAAAAAAGAAGGCAAAGAGCTGAAGAAGAAGAAAAAAAAAGAAAAAAGAGAAGGAGAAGAAAAAAGAGCTGAAGAAGAAAAAAGAGCAGAAGAAGAAAAAGAAGAAAAAAGAACAGAAGAAGAAAAGAAGAAAAAAGAGGAGAATAAGAAAAAAAGGAGAAAATGAGCAGAAGGAGAAATGAAGAAAAAACAGCGGAAGAAGAAAAAGAAGAAAAAAGAGCAGAAGAAGAAAAAAGAGAAAAAGAGCAGAAGTAGAAAAAGAATAAAAAAGAGCTGAAGAAGAAAAGAAGAAAAAAGAGAAGAAGAAGAAGAAAAAAGGAGAAAATGAGCAGAAGAAGAAAAAGAAGAAGAAAGAGCTGAAGAAGAAAAAGGAGAAAAAGAGCAGAAGACGAAAGAGGAAGAAAAAGGGCTGAAGAAGAAAGAGATAAAAAAAGAAAAGAAGAAAAAGACAACAAAAAGCTGAAGAAGAAAAAGATGAAAAACGAGCAGAAGAAGAAAAAGAAGAAAAAAGAGAAGAAGAAGAAAAAAAGGAGAAAATGGGCAGAGGAAGAAAAAGAAGAAAAAGAGCAGAAGACGAAAGAAGAAGAAAAAAGGGCTGAAGAAGAAAAAGATGAAAAAGAGCAGAATAACAAAAAGAAGGAAAAGAAGAAAAATGAGAAGACGAAGAAGAAAAAAAAGAAAATGAGCAGATGAAAAAAAAGAAGAAAAAGGGCAGAAGAAGAAAAATAAGAAATCAAAGCAGAAGAAAAAAAAAACGAGAAAAAAGACCGGAAGAAGAGAAAGAAAAAAAAAGAGCAGTAGAAGGAAAAGAAGAAAAAATAGCTGAAAAAGAAAAAGATTAAAAAAAAGAAAAAGAGCTGAAGAAGAAAAAGAAAAAAAAAGAGAAAAAGAAGAAAAAAGAAGAAAATGTGCAGATGAAGAAAAAGAAGAAAAAAGAGAAGAAGAAGAAACAGGAGAAAAAGAGCAGAAGAAGAAGAAGAAGAAGAAGAATAATAATAATAATAATAATAATAATAATAATAATAATAATAATGTTGTTATATAGCCTCTAAAGGCTGATGTGCAGTGAATCTCTCTGCTAGAATGAAAGTAGTGGGGGGGGGGTAAACATGGCCGGGTGTCGAGAGGGTTGCTTTTATTTTAGGCTTGAAGGATGTTAGCAATTGGGGTCTACCCAGACGACAGCATTACTGAAGATAAAATACTGCGGAGAGTGCTAGAGTCTTTAGGAGACTTGCTGTCACTTATCCTTCAGTCATAAGCCACCATTTACACCCCGAGTGAAAAGCTTAGGAAAAAGTGAGTGTCAGTTTCTCTAAGTCCTCTTTCCTGAAATTTTCTGATTCTGAGTATGTGTCCCTTTTCTTTGCAATTTCCTCATTGCCTACGGACTCCGTCTTCTCTTCATCTGTGAGGAAACTGTCCAAAATGTATTGGCATACTAGAACTTTAATATTACATAGTAGTTCAGCACGCTTTTATTTATTTCTATCGAAATTTTCCTATCATTTAATACTTTGCTTAGTTTTTGGAAGGCATTTCTGCTATTCTAATACATGTCCGGACTTGGGGACTCATTGTCCATCCCCCGTTAAAAAAATTGCAAAATATTTAAGTATATATATATATATATATATATATATATATATATGTATAGTTTGATTTTGGTATCACCAATTCGTATTTTGTATATTGAACTTTTTCCTTGCTGACAACCATATTCGCTGTCTTCTTAGAATTGACGGTTAGTCCTTCCTTCATGCTTTCCTTTTCTATATTTGTTTGATGTTGACGTCTCCAATTCATAATTTGCATATCGGATCTTTTCTCTTACTGACAACCATATTCGCTCTCTTAGAATTGACGGTTAGTCCTTCCTTCATGCTTTCCCTTTATGTACTTGTTGATGTTGACATTTCCAATCCATAGGTCTTAGGCCTTTTCTCTTGCTGACAAGCATATTCACTGTCTTATTAGAATGGATGCTTAGTCCTTCCTTCATGCTTTCCAATCCATAGTTCAGATCTTGGGCCTTTTTTCTCGCACTCCTTACTACCTGACCCAGAACGTCCAGTAGTTTTCTTTGTGCCTGCCATCAACACAGTGTCACCGGCGTATCGTATATTGTTAAGATTGCATACACCGATAATAAATTCGGGCAGAGTCACCAGCCCCTTAGGATAGCCTCGTTGTCGCGGTTAAAGAAATCTGGGGAGAAGCCACAACCTTGTCTAACGCACCTTTCTATTTTTGTGTAACTACTCAATTCGTGTTCTCTCTTGTAATCGGCTGATCTGAATGCTCTTAAGGCCAAAATTTGCTCCATGTAAAAGAAATCTTATAAATGTTTTGGAGCTTGCTCTGACTTTTAGAGTTTGAATAATCAGTTACGTCAATGTAGAAGCTGAGAAATGAATGGCAATCCTCGTGAGTTATGACCTCATCACCTTGAAACACCGGTACCCGGACTGATGTTAAGCAACATCCTGTTGTGTTCGTTATATTCACTTACGCAAAAATACTCTTGGAAAAAGGTTTGAATCCACCTCTTCTCCCCCACCTACGGGGTTAATTAGTAAGACTTTGTCACTAAATCATTATTATCTCAAAAACAAATGTTGCAATCTAAAAATATTTTCTGGCTTTAAATAACCTGCAAAGGTGTTGATAACCCGTAGAAAACGAAGCACTCAAACAATCAAACATCGATCAGCATTTAAATAATTGTTATTGTTCGACAAAAAAAATTTAAAACGAAGACAATTATATATATATATATATATATATATATATATATATATATATATATATATATATATATATATATATATATGAAAAAAGCTTAATACATTAAAAAATACGGTAATAAATCATGATTTATTTTGACCAGTATATCTCATCAGAACGAAATTTAAAAAAAACTTTTAGCTTTACCTTGATGTGTATCATATTGCTCTGTAGTCTATACATTGAGTTCTCTACAGGTCTATGTTTTTAATATTTTAGAAATATAAAATATCCACTTGGATTACCCTTTCTAATTACGGATTTATATATATATATATATATATATATATATATATATATATATATATAAAATAAATAAATAAAAAGTGACTGAAATTATTAGGAGGTTTTAAGATAATAATAATTAAGTAATTCATCGCGTCTAGAAGAAACCTCAACAGAATGCAGAAAGCACTGGACGGCCGTTTCGTCCTATTTTGGGACTTATCAGCAGTGCGCATCCACTACCAAGACTTGAAACCCCGAACGTTACGACACGAGACAAACGTCATACCAACTGTCTCGGGCCTCGGTGACGGAGGGTATAACGAATCAGACTCAATATAGCGCCGCTCGATCACATATTCCGTGGTGGAACTCATCCGAATTTCCCTTGCCCATAGGACTGTGCCACCACGAGCCACGACTACTATCCCCAAGCAATTCCATCTAGAGCATTAGAAGCCGGTTCAAGTGATTGAAATTTTTAGGAGAATTTGAGATAATTATAATTATTTCATCGCGTCTAGAAGAAACCTCACTCTCCAGTGGATGCGCACTGCTGATGAGTCCTAAATATAGGACGAAACGGCCGCCCAGTGCTTTCTTCATTCTGTTGAGGTTTCTTCTAGACTCGATGAATTATTCCGTTTATTTATTAAATTGTGAGATATCTCGAATATTCAGACCGGTAGGCGAAAATAAATAGATGGATCCGAAAACTGCGAAGATAAGCAAAAATTCTGGAATCTATGACAAGAATGAATTTCGCTTAAAGGCAGTATTTAACATTGCCTGATCGGCAATTTCGTTGCTAACAAAGAAAAGAGTTCTGAACTGCTCCGTGATATCTGTCCTCCTTTACGGCAGCGAATATTGGACGGTCTCCTCAAAGATGAAGAAGAGACCCGAGGCAATAGAGGTGTGCTTCTACAGAAGGATACTGAGGATGCCGTTGACCGAACATTTGAGCAACGATGTGGTTTTGGAGAGGATGCAAACAAAGAGGAAACTTATACTTAACATCAGGAAGAAGCAGCTGAAATTTCTAGCACATCTAATGAGAAAGGAGGGCTTGGAAAATCTGATACTCACAAGCGAATAGAGCGAGGAAAGGGACAAAGGGAAGCAACTCGTCACATACGTAAAGGGCTTACGCAAGTGGATGGCAGAACGGTGTCTGGGAGTAATAAAAAATGTATTGAGAGCTACAAGGGACAGGAAGAAATGGAGAGCCATGATCGTCTACGTCCTGAAGGGACACGACACATAAAAACAGAAGAAACAACTGTGAATTGATTAAGCATCTCACCTTGCAGGGTCCTTTTTTAGATAAGCAGTATGGTTTTCGCTTCTCTAGATCAACTGCTGATGTCTTAAAGATTATTGCTGAAAGAGTCTACCAAGCTTTAGATAAGAATGGTGAAACTTGGGTTGTTGCTTTGGACATCTCGAAGACATTTGACAAGGTTTGGCATAAACGCAAAGGCATTTGATAAAGTTTGACATAATCTCAAAGGCATTTGACAAGATTTGGCATAATCTCAAAGGTATTTGACAAGGTTTGGCATAATCTCAAAGGTATTTGACAAGGCTTGGCATAATCCCAAAGGCATTTGACAAGGTTTGGCATAATCTCAAAGGTATTTGACAAGGTTTGGCATAATCTCAAAGGCATTTGACAAGGTTTGACATAATCTCAACGGCATTTGACAAGGTTTGGCATAATCTCAAAGGCATTTGACAAGATTTGGCATAATCTCAAAGGCGTTTGACAAAGTTTGTCATAATCTCAAAGGCATTTGACAGAGTTTAGCAGTCATAAGTTGAAAGGTTATGGTATTTCTGGGCGAATTTTTGAATTGATTCAGTCTTTCTTATCAAATCGCAAAATGAAAGTTGCCTTGAATGGCCAATCTTCTAGATCTTTATGTATACAGGTGTTCTTTAGGTTGGACCTACGCCTCTCCTGATTTTCATAAATGACACTCCTGATATCATCAGTTCTCAACTCGCTATCTATGCCGATGACACAACTATTTAGTCCTGTCTTAATAGTAAATCTGATCGGTTCGATAGGGCCAAATTGACAGCAAATTTATCTTACAGATTTATAAGTCTACTATTTGTCCTTGCTTTGAAAAATACTGTCACCTCTGGTCTGGTGCTGCTGCTCTATATTTGGAGATTCTTGATAAAATCCAAAGAAGAATCTGCAATGTTACTGGCCCTGAC